AAAGTGGTGATTTTGACGTGAGGAACGAAGAACTATGAACTATGAACTATGAACTATGAACTGCTGAAACCTGGTCAAACCGTCAATACTAATCGCTACCAACAACAAATGATCGATTTAAATCGAACATTGACTAAAAAACGACCAGAATATGCAAAAAGGCAACACAATGTCATTTTGCTCCATGATAATGCCCCATCACATACAGCAAAACGGGTCAAGGAAACGATCGAGTCGTTCAGTTGGGAATTACTACCGCATGCGGCTTATTCTCCAGACTTGGCTCCGTCCGATTATCACCTGTTCGCATCGCTAGGACACGCTCTCGCTAACCAACGCTTCGATTCGTATGAAAATGTGGAAAAATGGCTAGATAACTGGTTCGCTTCAAAAGATGAAAAGTTTTTTTGGCACGGCATTCATAAACTGCCAGAGAGGTGGGAAAAATGTGTTCAAAACAGTGGAAATTATTTTGAATAAAGTATTATTTATCACTTTCGAACAACAGACGTCTTATTTGTATAAAAAAATTCCGGTTTCATACTTCTACACCTGGTAAATCCAGTATCATTTGGTAAGAGTGTCTAGCATGCAGATTGTATTCGAAAAAAATATGATTGGCAGATTGAGAGAAATGACCACAAGGGCAAGATTTCTCAACTATTATTCCTTTTTCATATAGATATAAATTACATCTAAAGTGATATGATCTGAGTCTGTTAATAATCATAATATATTTACGAGGAATTTGTTTCAATTGCCAATATCAGGGGTCCGCTAATTCTTTATGCCTAGTCTTGTTAAAATATGTGTAGCCTTTATATGCTGTAGCTTGTTCCATTTTGGAAAAGGCGAGCAATTTAAAGTGTCTCAGTGCAATAGCACAGATGTTATAGTAAAAATAATGTTTTTCATGTTGTAAAGTCCTTGTAGACTTACTTAGTGCAGCCTAGGATGCAAGAAAATTAACAAGATCATTGCCAAAAAGATTAATATGTCCGGGAACACAAGCAATAGTGATATTTCGTCCAGAGATATTTGCTGAGTATAACAGTTTTTTAATTATGTAAATATAATGTGGTTTTGATCCGCTATAATCGTACGAATTAATAGCAGAAACTACACTTCTGGAATCCGTAACAATCAAATGTTCCGATTCATTCCGTGAATGTATATACTTGATGGTATCAAAACTAAGACTTCAATTTCAAAAACTGAGAAGAAGCTATTGATTGAGCCCATAATATATTCATCGTTTCATGCAAAATAGCATGCGTATCCACCCAGACCATCCGTTACCTTCGAGCCATCGGTATAAGTAATATGACAATGAGGGTATGATTCCCATATAGCATAGCAACGTTGCAGCATCATTGTTTTGCAATATTATGACATTGCAACAACGTTGCAAAATGTTGCAGCAATGTTATTGCAACGTTGCAGCAACGGTAAAATGTCCGCTTGCGGTAATATAACAACGCAATTGTGCAGCAACATTGCAATGCAATATATATGTAATATTATTAATATGTTTTATTATATAAAGTAAAATCCAGGATAACACTCTTACAGGAATATCATACTAATAAATACTACAAAATTATTAATGATTATGTATTACCAGTAATTCAATGATTTTTTCGTCAGTAGTTAATTTTTGGTGAATACTGATAATAAAATCACTATTAAATATTGATAGCAATCAAATACTGAGAATTATTGTGCGAATGGGAAAAATGAGAAAATCATAATATTTAAAAAAATAGATTTTTATAATTCCTAATTTTCTTATGTCTCATAAACTACTAGGTATCGAAGATTGTCAAATACACACTCCAAACTTTCGTGAATCTTTCGTCGATAATTTTGATCCCAAGCGGTATACCACCGATCACCCCATCTATGTCCTGACTCCGTTGAAGTGTTGCTTAACCTGACGATCGAGCGGCACGCGGCAATTTCCAATGACTCCAACGATATTCTTACAATTTGTGTTTATATAATTTATCCTTATTATAATTGTTCACAGTATATTATAACATACCTAGAAAACATCAAATAATAGTTATATAACTTTTACTTGGTGTTCGTAGGATAATTTACTAATAGATATTAACTAATAGATAAAACAATGCAACAACATTCGATATGAGATGAATATTGATGTAACGTAGTGAACCAGTGATAATTACTTCTAGATTTTTAACAGAATGTTATATAATGATTAATCCAAACCAAAAAAATAAAAAACCAAGAAAATTCAAATTAAATCGAATTACTAAATTTTAAAAGTAACTTTTATAAAATACTATTTAAAACAATAGTGTTGTTTTATCAAATAACATGGTTTCCTTGAACGAAATAAAAATCTTTATTTTTATCATTTCAAAAAATAATATTTTGTTTTAGAATATAATATTTTAATGAGACAAAAAATCACAAAATTAAACAAGTACAAATATTAAATTTAAAGAAAGTATTTTCTACGAAAAAACAGTATAAGAAGTTTAAGAAATATGTATTAGGTGTACAACTTTGCTTCCGCCGTTTTCCTATAGATGGCTTTAACGGTAAGTGGTGGTCGAAATAAATAGATCATAGGCCGGTATTCATAGTCGAATCTTATTTCAAGATCGTCTTAAGTAATGTCTTAAGATGTGAATACGGCTCTGTGATTGGTTCATGACATCTTAAGACAGTACTTAAGTTGACTTAAATATAAGATCTGACTATGAATACCAGCCATAGACGTCATACAATAAACTTG